AAGAAAGAGAAACACCCCCCAGCCAGCTGTGAGACTGCACACAGGGGGCTGTGTGGCTGCAGCCCTGCAGGGTCCCCTGCCAGTGTCACAAAGGGCGGGGAAGCCATAAAGGCTTTGTAGCCTGCCTGAGGGTCCCGGGGTGGGGGGACTGGGATTTATGCTGCTTGTAGCCCCAAATGTTGTCAGTTAACTGCGAGGGGGGAGAAGTAAGTGGGGAAGCAGGAAAGAGGACTCTGCTGTTTGGCTGTATGTCCTAGCAGGCATCCTTTCCCCGCTGAACTCAGTTGTTTCACATTGGCCTAGGAGCACTGATATGAAGATCCCAAGATTCAGACCTCTTGCTTTTTCTGTGTCTCTTCCACCTCGTTTTGCTCCCCTGTTTGTTTCTGCTTAGTTCCCCCTTGCTTCTTTTTTTTAATTGCCACTGTTTCTACCCTCACCTCCCTCCCACATCTTTGTTTTCACTATTCTACTTCTTCTCTTTCTTTTCCCTTTCTCAATTCCCTCATCTTAAAGTCTTTGTGGAAACAGAGTCAATGCTTTGTTCAAGGAAAAGGGTCGCAAAGGGGACCAAACACATACCTGGTGACCAGATAGTGATGAACTGGGATTTATGAACAGGAGAACTGTTGGGTCCAGTATTCTTTCCCATTCTTTTCAGAGTAGGAGATAAGGGATGACAGGGAAGGCTGCTTAATCCCATTGTTTGCAGTCCAGGTGTTTGCTTCCTAAAACTAATTCATCTCTCTTTTACACCAGTGTAACTACAGAGCCACTCAGATTAAATCACTGGTATGATGCTGGTGTAAATTAGAATAGAATCAGTCTCTTGCTCTCTTCCTCTGAGGGTATGAGCTATTGGTGGAAATAGGTGGGGGTGAAGGATAGAGAGCACAGGACTGTCACAGCTGCAGATCGGGACTGAGATGTGGTACCAGAGCTCCTGAGTCCATAGGAGTAGCAAGGGGAGGCATAGATCAGAAATGAAATGCTTTGGCAGAACAGTAAAGAGAGGGAAAGCCCAACACTGGAACAACAGGACTGGAACAACAGGGAGTGCTGTATGTCTGGATTCTCGTTCTGTTCCAGCAGGTGATGGGAACATGAATGAAAATGAGGAGGATCCTCAGCTGGAAGGTCCCAACCAGGTAGAAGCCCCTGGAACATTATCAGACTTTTTCATAAGGGAAGCTTTTCTGAGTTCTGACCAGGACACAGCCTGTGAGAGGCAAGAAATAAATTCTCCCGAGGGGAGACAGGCAAAACCCATTCGTTGTGAAAGAGGCTTCAGGAAACGCAAAGACACCATCGTTCACCAGAAAACTCTCCTGGGTGAGAAGCCCTACATCTGTATTGAATGTGGGCAGAGCTTCAACCGAAGCTCAGACCTCATCCGCCACCAGCGGATCCACACAGGCGAAAAACCCTATGTGTGTACCGAGTGTGGGAAAAGCTTCAGCCGACGCTCACATCTTATCCAGCACCAGAGAATCCACACAGGGGAGAGACCCTACCAGTGCAAAGACTGCGGGAAGAGCTTCAGCCAGAGCACACACCTCGTGCAGCACCAAAGGAACCACACCGGAGAGAGGCCCTACGTGTGTGCCAAATGCGGGAGGAACTTCTACCAGAACTCTGGGCTCATCAGACATGCCAACTTCCACACGGGTGAGAAGCCCTACAAATGTCCTGAGTGTGGGAAATGCTTCAGTGACAGCTCCAACCTCATTGCCCATCAGCGGCTGCACACAGGCGAGAAGCCCTACAAGTGCACGGACTGTGACAAATGCTTTAGTGAGAGCTCCAAGCTGATCATCCATCGCCGGACCCACACAGGAGAAAAGCCCTACATGTGTCCCGAGTGTGGGAAGAGCTTCAGTCAGAGGTCCCACCTCGTCCAACACCGCAGGACGCACACCGGAGAGAAGCCCTACAAGTGCTCCGAATGTGGGGCAAGCTTCAGTGACAACTCAACCCTGATCCGGCACCGCAGGACCCACACTGGGGAGAAGCCCTTCAAATGTGCTCAATGTGGGAAGAGCTTCAGCCGCAATTCGTACCTTGTGTCGCATCAGAGAGTGCATGTGTGGTAGGGAGCAGCAGTGGCTTGGACCCTGGGCAAGTATGGTGCCATGTAGGCACATGAAACATTTGCAACAATTTGGAGGGTGGATGACTAAATCAAGGAGGAGAGTGGAACACATTCCTAGGGTGACCAGCAATGTTAGGAGTCACGGAGTGGTGGGAGCCAGTGAGCTGTGACATCAATCACTCTGCAATCTCAGACATGAAAACTGATGAAATAAGAGTCAGTTTTCCTGCTTGTTTTGATGTTGGTTCCTTTTAAAATGTTATCTTGTTGTGAAGGTAAAAATGCCAAGTGGTCATTTGGCTCTGGGTTACATCTGCAGTTTATAAGATTGTGGCACATAACTTGCAACCGGCCAATGGCCCCAAAGTTTTGCAGAATTTAAATTCTCCTCTCTGTACTTATATTAAGTTTGTAGCCCTTCCAGTTGTGACCAGCTGCTTCGGAATGTCACTCAGCATAATGCTAATAACTGCCTGATTCTGCAGGCAAGAAAGCAGGAAACCACTCTGAGAGATACCCTGCTCCTCTGTTTAGGGTGTTGACACTGAAGACTCACCATGATGTATTTAAATTGTAATATGTTTGACTGTTTTACTGCTAGTTATTTTAGCAAAAGTATCAAGCTGATGTGTTTATCCAGTGTGGCTGGATATCCTAGAAATTAGGAATAGAGAAGATGTATTAGTGGTGTGCTTTTTATTCCTGTCATTGGCTTCATGACTTCAGTGTATCTCTGGAAGAGTGAAGGGCTAGTGAGAGCCAATAGAAGGTCTGGGGGCAGGAAAATGAAGAACTCCTGTGTGCGCTAAAGCTGCCAAGCGGATCCAGGAGTTGGAGCAGTTGCTGGCCGAAAGCATGTGAAAAACTCATTCTGCAGCTAGCTCTGTGAAACTCACCACTCTTCAAGGGATTAGAACTCTTTGGGAGCCTGAAACCACTTCTGGACTCTTTAACAGATGACAATATATGATTGTAATGTATTTTGAAGTATTAAACTTTGAGGGGAGCAGGGAACTTGCAGCTCCTGGAGGAGCAGGGACCTTTGCTTCCAGCTGCTCAAAGAAGTGGAGGAACTTTATGTAGTGGATGCCTTTGTTTGAAACCGAAGAGGATCTGAGGCTTTTGCTTGCAATTGCAAGTATTTTCTGAGGACAACTTCAGATCAGTGGGTTTTGGGGTTTGAATTCCCAACAACTGCTCCAGAAGTCTGACTCTGAGAGTCAGCCAGTCGTTGAATGGATCCAGAAGCTCTGAGAGTCATTGGCTCAACATACTTTCCAAAGGTCATACATGCTCTTCACTTTGCAGACTCAAAGATTGAGCCAAAGTTCAACTAGAGTTGACTGACTTCTACTAGTCCGATCTTTTCCCATCCAAATTTTATGAAGGAAACATACTGAACTTTGGTAAATGCGTGCTGTACAGCTGGTGGGACAACTCTCTAGAATTCAGTCATGGGGGCTGCTGTTTAGGGTAGTTCCTTTGGAGTCATTCACGTTTGTGAATGGGGACTTTTCTGTTCTGAATCTGAATAAATCAAAACATGGCAGCCAATTAATGGACTTAACTCTTAATGGTTGAGATCAACCCAAAGGAGAATCCTGGCATCAAGAATTTGGTCTCAGAGAAGCAGCAGCACTTTCCTCACTGAAAACCCCTTCCCCTGAGGTCCTCAGACCATTTGTTGTCTTTCTATGTGCTTGGTAAAGTGTTGCATACACTCAGTAGTGCTCTATAAATTAAAAATAACTGTGCACATTTATTTCTGATTAAAATCTTTATGTAAACATTTAAAATTGTATGCAGATTCAGTGTGGTCTTGGGGTTCAGGGCCCATCATCAGAGCAGCTAAGGTTGTTACACCACTCTTCTGAAGACCTGTCATCAGTGTCTTTGGGATTTCCTTTGTGCCCCGTATGGGAGTTATTTGCCCTGTTCCTTGCCACACAGCTAAAATCGTCCTGGGTTTGTGATCATCTAGCTGAAGAAGGCCAGCCTGGGCACTGCCATTTCTTTGCTCATGTAGCAATTACAGTGTATGTTCCTCTTCCAGCAGGACTTTAATTTCTACTGGTGGCAGAGAGCTTCACAAGCAGAATGTAGGAGAGAGTGGTCTGTGGAAATCTCAGAGGTCACTGAGAGCTGGAAAGCCTTCTTCCAATGTGCTGGATAAATGGGCTCTTGCTGATGAGGTGAAGCCTGTCTCTTCTCTAGTAGCTTACATTTGTCTCCTCTCTCTGGATCATAATTTGCTACTTTTGGAAAAATCTTCATAAATGGTAAATTTTCTTATTTAACCAGTAATTCTGTGGAGACTATCCAATGTTTTAGTCACACTCCCATCTCAGGCTATTGGTTCCAGTCAAAAGTTCTGTCAGTTTAATGGTGCTTTCTATAAATTTTAGGTTCTGCTACTGGTGCTTTGTAACCACAGTGATACCACGGCACTTTTGAAATACCTAAACCACATAGATTAATGGAATAATGTTGTCTCTGCAATAAAATCTCTCTTCCAAATACTATGTTTTCCCATCTTTAGCTCCCACCCTCCCCCAAGTGATGGCTGAAACTCAAATTCTATTATAAACCCATAATCTTTTTGTTGCTCCTGACTTCTTCAAATTCTTTTTGTATTGAATTTTTCTGTGCTTGGTCTCAGGAACCACTTGAATGTGTGTGCATACAAACAAACCAACCTATCCTAATGGTGCACACAATGTCAGTTTAATAAGTATCCCTTTGCACCAACTACACTAGCCCAAAGTGTGCCATAGGCCACTCCTGTGAAATATGCCCAGTGCATGGGGGCTCTGTGCCAACTCTTCAGGAGTCTCTTCCCCCTTAGTAAAGGGTATCAAGGATGTGTCAGGGACATGTGAGAAACAGAATGGAGGAGAGATGGAGCATATCAAAGGCAGAGGGAAGTATAGCCAGGACAACCTGGGTTTTCCCTGCTATCACAAACCCTATAGGGGCTTAAGAAAATCTCCGCTGAAACAAGATACTGCATAGTCTTCTCTCTTTGGGGGGAGGATGAGGAAGAAATACATCACATCAGTGGCATACTAACCTGAATAAAGAGGAGTGCAACATGGGGCTGCTCTTGCTTACAGTGTGTGGCCTTACATTGGGGGAACATAAAGGTGCACAGGGATTAAGTGATTTGCTTCAAGTTACAGACTCTCAGGATCAGCCCTTAGTTCACTAGACCAGGGCCCTAGTGCATCCCCTTCGGCCGTGCAGACAGTCATCAGGTACAGCAACCCAAACTGCCCCCCGGGACCAGAAAGCATAGAAAGTGGGTTCACAGGCACCTTTGCTCTTACACCCTTGGTCCTGTGCAAAGCACAGCTCAGTGAGACCTGGCCTAGTGTAATGGCTTCAATGGACACCTCACTAAATCTCTGTTTTAGCCATCCCGTGGCAATTCTGTATGTGCACACAGCCTAAGGGCCCATTGTCTAAGAGCACAAACACAGAGCTGGTCAGCCTCTCATCTGTCAGATCATCTTCTGCAACGGCAGTGTGGAAGCAGTGTGTTATAGCCAGAAACTGTACATGCACATGTGCCATCTGACAGGGGATGCTGCTGCTGCACTGAACCTTGCTTCCTGTCCAGGTGTCCTCCCACAGACATGTCCTATTGGGTGCTGTGACACACACAGGGTAAGTGCTGTGATCACTGGTACCCATCCGTGTCATGTTTATGAGCTGCCTTCCCACAAGCCAACTGAAGTCATCAAGTGACAGTTAAACAAATGACAGCTTTGCATTGAGCTAGGTAAGCCCCTGGGTGCCTCTGCGAATCATTTCTCAGACAGGGAACTGAGACACAGGGCCAGATCCTGGGGCCTCATACCGCCTGTTGGTGGCATTTAAACAGGGCAAAGCAGGACAGATTTAAGGCCAACTAAGAGGTCAGCTGAGGATTCCCCTGCTGTAGAGGAATCTCCAGGTGGCATAGAACCAGTGTTGCTGGCCCTCTGTCAGCATGCTGGGGGTGCGTCTACACTACACCTTTACCTCAAAATAAACTGCTTATTTTGAGGTAATTTTGAAATAAAGCGCGATTCCAAATGTCCCTTAACCCTGGTGGAATGAGATTACAGAGATGCTGGAATAGCGCGCCCACTATTTCAAAATCTATTTTGAAATAACAGGCTGCTTTAAAGACCCGCAGTAATTATTTCGGTATCCCAAAATAGCTCCACAGTGTAGACGTAGCCTGGGAACATGAGAGGACACGATCGGAACACATTATTCCCCTGTGGGCAGTGCAGGCACTCATCAGTTACAGCAGCACGTACTGGTCCCAGAGATCAAGAGCATGTGGAGGGGATTCATCGCCACCTTAGCCCCTACGCTCTTGGGTCCTGTATGAAGCACAGCTGAGCTCAGCCTGAAGGATGGGGCCAGTGTGAAGTCTAGGGAATCGTGGAGCAGGCATAGGCCTCGCAGTTTGGAGACCTGTTTTGTAATCCTTGCTGTGCTCGACTTGCCATGCAAGCTTGAGCAATTCACTAGGGCTACGTCTACACTGGCCCCATAAAACGGAAGAGGCATGCAAAGCAGGTAAGTCAGAATAGGGAAATCTGCGGGGGATTTAAACATCCCCCGCGGATTTAAATAAACATGTCCGCCGCTTTTTTTCCGGCCTGGGGAAAAGCCGGAAAAAAGCGTCTAGACTGGCGCAATCCTCCGGAATAAAGCCCTTTTCCGGAGGACAGAGGATCGCGCCAGTCTAGACGCTTTTTTCCGGCTTTTCCCCAAGCCGGAAAAAAAGCGGCGGACATGTTTATTTAAATCCGCGGGGGATGTTTAAATCCCCCGCGGATTTCCCTATTCTGACTTACCTGCTTTGCATGCCTCTTCCGTTTTCTGGGGCCAGTGTAGACGTAGCCTAACAGTAATCTCTCTGCAAAATGGGGGTCATGCTATTTACTTATCTCATCAGAGGTATTTTGAGGCCTAATTTAATACTGTGCCCGATCCTATGATTGGAAGTCAGGCTGAATCAGCTGGAGAGAATACCTGCAGGCAAAGGGATTCTCCAGATGTAGTACAGCTGATGTACATGTCTCTCCTGCAGGACATGCATATAGGGAGATTGGCTGGGGGCATAACCTCAGCGCGGAGGATGTGACCACAGTGCTGCTCCGCTCCAGTTATGGGCTGTTATTAGGCCCTGAAGGACTGGTGTTGTACAGCACTACATAAATTAGAGAAGCCCTGTGGCTGCTGTTCCTTACATGGGTAACCATGCAGACCTCTGGAAGGAATGAGAATAGGGCGAGATGCAAAGGTGACTGAAAACAGACTTACACACACACAGACCTCCCTCCTCATCCATTTCTGCACTGAGTGTATCTAGAATGAAATGGAAAATTGGGCCCAAAGCATACACACTCTGTAGGCATAGGCCTTTATTACAGTCAGGTAGCAGTAGAGGTAGGACTAGAATTCAGTTTAGGCTTCCAACTCTGCATTCGCTCTTCTGCAATGGGCATAATAAAGCCTTGGTGATGTTTATTCAGCTTTTAGGGCTTGATTTATGATTATGGATACCTAATACTGTATGAACATGATTTGTGTGTGCAAACACCGTAAGTCCATTATGAGCGATGTGAGCAAGAGTCACAATTGGGAGAAAAGCCAAGGGAGAAGCCTTGAATTCCTTTACCTTAGGAGAGAAAGGAATTGATCTAAGGGAGAGAGAGTAGAAATGCCCCATATCCCTCAATTCTCCAGGGTGTGGAGGCGCTGTTCCCAGAAGACCCTACAGAGCCTGCTGTTTTGCCCTAAGACAACTGTCAGCAGAGGGAACTGTGGAGGAAAGAGGTTGTTTAGAAATGGAATAGTACATGTCTGTGGGAAGGGGATCTCTGTCCAGTCATATAATCAGACAGACTTCTGAAAGTATGTTTTCTTGAGGGCTCAGACTTCCTGAGGGTTTAAGAATTAAAATGTTTCTATTAAAGGATAAGTGGAAATCTGCAAGAATGAGCACACAACCTGCTGGCTCAGGCCACCCAGTATTGTCCATAGGCATTATTCTTGTAAGTAGTATGTTAGTGGAGTTACCATAGCATCTAGGTGCCCTGGTCCTGGAGCAGGACCCCACTGTACTGGGTGTAGTGCAATCCCAGAACAAAAGTCAGTCCTCGGTGACTTTAGCCTAAAGCACTTACAACCTTTGTGTAAGACAAGAGAAAAGAGGTGGATGCAGATAAACTGACAGGAAACACAGGGAGACGACAAGGGCTGGCATGACAGGCAGTGGTTACACAGCCCAACCATTGTCAAGTGTTTTGCAGAGCGCACAGCCCAGGAGAGTGTGAAGGAGGGTTTGGCAGGAGGCTAAATGAAGCCATTTTGCAGATGTTTATGGGAAGTTTCCCCCACGTGTGAGGGGCAGCATGGGAGAAAGCTGTATGGAGCTTGTTTGATGCTGTAACAAATGGGCAATGGAAGTTGGAGACAGAAGTTGATCACACTGACCACCATTTTCTAATTAACTGGAGGGAACATCCTACCTGCTCCCACAGCTGCTCCCCTCCAGCCCTGCTAATGGCCGCTGCCATCCTCTGACCCCCTCACGACTGCTCACATTCAGTCTTCCCCACCCAGTGCCTCATAGTCCCATCTGCAGTGTGGGGCTCTGGGCAGTGTTCAGGGAGGCAGGGCCACAATCACACCCAAGAAAGCAGAGACGAGACAGCAGAATAGAACTGGGCAGAGCCACCTGCACTGAGTCCCAGAAGAGGAGGGGCTATGACCTCTCGGTGATCCCCCTCTTGCTGGAGAGAATGGGGAACAAACACCCCTACCTGCTCCCTATTCCTCACCAGCGACACTTTCATCCCCCTCCCATTGCAGCCAAGGCCTGGGAGAGAACGTGGGGTTGCCAACCCTCCCAATTTTGCCAAGAGTCTCCTGGAATCAAGCTCTGTCAGAGGCTACTGAGGCAAAACTGGGTGCATGACCCCTCCTTGACACACAAACCAAAGAACCCCCACCACACGTCTACTTCCTCCTTGTGCCATGACCACTGTGGTGCCACATTTCACATCTATCCTGCAGCCCTGCCACTGGCCACTAAGCCTGGCTGACCCCACCTCTCCCACACTCCTATTGACGGTCATGGAGCAAGTCCAGTCCTCTGCCCTCATGGCAGGACCAAGCACTATCTAGATCAGGGCTACTCAATTTTGGAAGCCCCAGGGGCCACAATGATACTCACAGTACATGCCAAGTACTTAAGTGTGGTTGCATATACGTGCAAATATATATGCAAATAGCTTATTTCACACTGACAGGAATGAATACAAAGCACTTCCCTGTGCTCCTGGAACCTCTTCCCTTGGGGGCTAAAAACACCAACACCCTGTACCCATCTGTTCCAGCCAGCCCGTCTGCTTGTGTCTTTCAGTGCTCATTGCCTCGCCATTATGGAGGGTATTCCCAGTGGAGGCCACGTTCAAAGGATCCCACCTGCAGGCCACGTGTTGAGCCCCGTGTAA